TGCAATGTACGTCCGATCCACTGAGCATTCTCACCTCTCTCCAACCTACAGAGAAATTCTCGCAATTAAGGAGACAAAAGCAGGTTCAGTTGGGCTAGGAGTCCAGGATGCCCTCTCAAGTGACCCTATTCTAGGCAGTGATGAACTGGCATGGTCAGTCCTGATCAAAAATTGCAGCCATTCTGGTGCTGAACGGAACCAGTTCACTGGGGAGAAGAGCAGCTTCTCCAGACATCCCCCTCTCTGCCCACTGTAGAAAGAGCTGTGACGAGTAATTCAGAGGGAACTCTGTCCGGTTCATTTTGTGCACGGAGATCGCAGCTGGCAGGATAACACCATATCATCTAGATTTCTTAGATGCTTATATGGCCCCATTACCGTAGAACAGTGATACTCAGACTGAGGCTTGCAAGCTGCAAGTGGCTCTTTGCAACACATGATATTAAAACACTGCGTGATGTAATTATTAACTATTCTAAGTTAATAAAGTAAAAGCATGCTGATTGATTAATATCTAATTGTAGTTGATAAAAATACTTGGTCAGTCATTTTGCTGTGAGAATTTTTATTATACACACACACAAAATATTTCCCCTGCCATGCTGCTTAAATATGAATATATAGTACTATAGTAAATGAAACCATGGATTCACATTACTGAGACTCTTTTAGGTAATGCTGATCGCCAATTTGGCTCCTGAAGCATTGAGGTCTGAGTATCACTGAATACAGACTAACAGGGCTGTTACTCCAAAACCTGCCACAGAATATAGTTATTCCACCCTACCCCAGTGATGACAGTACACCTCTGCCATCTTCAGGCAATTTGCAGAAATGCAGCCCCTACTCAGCTGAAAACCTGAACACAAATGGCACAATCTAGAAAGAGGCTGAAGGGTCCCAAGATACTGGAGAGGAGGGGAAAAAGCTGGACCATGTGTCTCTCTCTGTTCCATCTGCCAGGGCAGAAGCTGGAGTGGACCAGGAGTTGCTGAGTACATTTTGGAGGACAACACAAACTAATCTCAAATGTCTAAGATGAGGGGTTTGACTTAAGATACACATCACAGAAAGGGTGGCAGGTATTTCCTATGCTTCACTAGCTCAGTACTTTCCTGTCCTAGAGACATGTTACCCGAAACACTGCTGCAAGGACACGAAGCATCAGCTTCAGATGCAAGAGCCTTGGAGTTAAGGCTTAAATTCCTCCCTAAATTCATTGGAATAAGCCTAGCTCATGTAGCTCATACAATGTGCTAAAGCATCCCCACCATCTCAGTGCAGAGGTGCTAACAGGAGTCAGTGCTGGTAGAGCTGGCAGCTTGGGCAGTTAGCACAGAGTTTGGGCGCAGGCATCAGACCCTTCAAATGAATTGAGATTTCTGTGATCTGCTCAAAATAAAGGGGAAAACATCTGACACCTGTTCAAACACACAGAGATGCATCTCTTCAAACCACCAGCCACTAACAGCTCCCAAAGATTTAGACTTTGACTAGATCTATACTGCAAACATTTGCTGGCACAGCTATGTAACTCGGGTGTGATGAGGCATGATCTGCTGTATCGGCAAAAGGCACAGTGAGTGTAGATGAGGTTATACCAGCAAGGATGTCCTTCTGCTTGCTGGAATAAGCTATACTACCAAAAGCTTAACTGCGTCTGCACTCTGAGCTCTTGACCAGTATAGCACACCAGTACTGCTAGATCAGCAAAGCCCTCCTTGTGAAGAGCTGGTCTGCATTAGAGTTGACTTCTACTCAATGCTCCTAAAGTAGAGTCCATCCACACTTCATTTGAACCTTATGGACACAGCAAATTCTAAGTAAAGGGTGCCCGGTGGCACATTTGATTTTTCTGGCCCCTCCCAATACTTAAGTCATGCCTTTATGGGGGCTGTTTCTCCAGATGCCCATGAAATTAATGAGAAGATTCAAGCCACTAATATTGTTTTTTAAAAAATGCTTCCTATCTCCATTCCTTTCGCTTTGTATAGTTTAGTTGGCATCCATATTCACTTCTTGCATTCTGTAGCTGACCTAGTCATAACAGCAATGACCGGTGCGGAATCCAGCTACTGTGGGGATGGTGGCCATATAGTTACCTAGACAGTTCAAGGAAAAAGAAACCAAATATGCTCTCTGCTTGCTTCCCATCAGTCTTGGGCCTAGTAAGGTTCTGTTTTATAAGTCATTTAAACCTCTCCCAATAGGAATTATTGTATTGCACATACAGTGATTAATACACAGTAAGAAGATGTTCTGTAAATGGTATTACAGCAGAAGTTCTATTAAACTTGGTCTTTCACCAACCCTTCTCTGGAAAAAAGCAAAGTCATTGGTGAGAGACAGGAGCAGAAAGGTCCCGATCCTGACCCCAATGAAAGGGCTCATCTGTATGATCAGTTAGATTGGTTTAACTTAAGGTGTGATCTTAAACCCTGTGCAAGAGGCTGTGTAGACAGTCTTCAGTTTAAACTAGGATTTTTTCAGTTTATCTTAAATCCATTAGGAATGGGTTTAAGCCCACTGTAGTAGTAGAATTGTAGCAAGCCCCCAGTTTAACTAAACCCATGCAAGTCTAATGTAGACGAGGCCTTAGTCAGTGACAAAACTCCCAGTAACTTTCAAGACAGCAGTATCAGGCCCATATTCACAAGCAGGTGGATGGACAGATAAGTAAGCTTGGACGAGTTAGATTTTTATCAGTAAGTGTTGGTAAAAGTCGATTTCACCATACACAGACAAACCAACAATACGTATTTCCATAGATGATCACCTAAATTTACAGATAGGCAAAGAACGAAAAATACTGTTTGAGAATTTCTTAGAGAGTTATTTGAGGGTATATGTTTTGTATATTTTACATGTGATGTTGATAATGTGTGTTTTACTGGTTTTTGAATTTCAATGGCTGCTATCATTAAATAATTATTGTGCGGCTCCCCACCATTGTCTTACCCCCCATAATTTCCTGCAACCATGAACATTTAAATCAGTAAAAATTAAAGAGTGCTTAAAACCCATAATGTTGCACAACTGGATATCAGTCAAAATTATTAAAAAAAAATAGAAATCTGCCAAGCCTAATAGATAAGGTACGCACACATTTTTTGCTGTCTTAGGAGCAACGTGGACAAAAATCTAGCCCCCCATGCTTAGAAGCGTGTAAAATGTCACGGGCTCAGACTTTGCTAAGTTCAACCTCAGGCACACAGTCACATCTGCCTGAGGAGCAAAGACCTTCTAACGAAAAGGATGACAAGCCACCACTGATGGAGGAAGGTGCCTGACAGCTCTTTATTACAGAGCAGAGCAGTCTCATTTCAAGGCCATTAGAGGATTAAATAACCTTGCAGGGAGGCGGGGGGGAGGAACTCAGTCAGCAATCTAGCTATTAAAAACAAAAGAATTAGGAAGAAGAGCCTTCTTCTACCTGCTTAGTGACTCCATAGGTCAGGCCTACACTACAGACCTATATCAGTTAGCTAAGTTGCTTAGAGGTGTGAAAATCCACACCTCTGAGCGACAGTTATACCAACCTAACCCCCCCATATACACAGTGCTCTGTCAACGGGAGAGCTTTTCCTGTCGACATAGCTACTGCCTTTTGGGGAGGTGGATTAACTCTTCCAACCCATCTCCCTTCGGCATAGGAGCATCTTCACTTAAGCGTTACAATGATGCGGCTGCACTGATGCAGCGTTTTAAGTGTAGACCTGCCCACAGGGAGTACTATTTCCTCCAAGACAGAGCTGAGCTGCAAGCCCCAGCATGGGCTGAGAAGGATATGATGCCACAACCTTCTTGTAAAAAAATTAGGTTTGCCCACACATGATCATTAAAGACCCAGAAAGGGGTGAATTCACAATTCAGAGGCAGATCAAATGGTGTCAGAGATAAGTCAGTGTATGTGGGTGAAACTTTAACCGAGCTAGCAAAAGTGAGTGTGATACCATGGGGCTGTCACCAGGCTAAGAGGGCTGGAGATCAGGGGTGAAGTAGAGACAGTAGCCAACAGGAGAAAAAACAGTCTCCACCCCAGCTACAAATCTGCCTTCTGCCCCAGGCAGGTAAATTACACCCTGATCCCCACTGTTTACAAACACCTTTTCATTTGGCCCAGCATCCACAAAGCACTTCATGATCCCTCACAATGACAGAGCCAATAGTAAAGCTTAGTATTAATAGTGCTTTGCATCTTCCTAGTGCTGTACACAGAGCAAGCCTCCAAACAGCCCTTTGAAAGACATCAGGCAGATTAGCCCCTTTTCATATCTAAGGGAAGCAACTGCAAAGAGTTGTGCCTAGAATTACACAGCAAATCAGCACCAGTATGCAGTTCTTACTCTTCGTCCCAAACTCCTTCTACACCATGCTGTCTCTTGAGGCCTAAATACGGGATCAGCCCGCACCTTTTATAATCTGCTAAAACAGTTATTTATAGGCTGTGAAGTCAGACTGTGAATCACTCCAAAGCATTTAACAGTAGCATTATGCTGCAGGTAAAAACGTTAGTCCCTTGGGGCAGTTTTCCCTGCCACAAGGGTTTATAGCTCCTGGGCTCTGCTGCAGATACATGTAACAAAGGATGGAACTTGGAGGCACTTTAAACCAGAATCCACAAAAGGAAAAATATAAAATATAAATGAACAAATTCCCCCTATCCCACAGACCTCCCGTTCTGGCCATAGCCCTGCATCCCAATAGTTTCAGCCCTGTGTAAATGAGAGAGCAAGGCAACCAGGCAGGAGAAATATGATTTGAGTGGCAAAATAAGACTGAAGAGGCTCAAACTTTCCTGTGCACTAGTCAGGCATTAGTGACCACAGCTACTCCAGAAAGCTTCCCAATAATCCTTTACCCTGGTTTATGGCCCAGATGAAACACCGGTGGGGGCAGCATGCTACCAAGGACCTGCGGCGCAAATGCAACCATCTAAAAAGTTGCAAGGAAGTCAGGAGTCTGGACTCTGACACAGGAAAAGCAGGAGAACACCCATGTATTGATAAGCAAGTTTATCTTTATTAAAAAGACAAAGTTCAATTGAAGTATGTCTCAGAATTACAAATGCTCAGGCTCAACAGTGCCCTGCATAGAAAGGTGTATTCCAAAGAAGACTCTGTTGATAGATTAGATCACCAAAACCTATTAACGTCTGCCCTAAAACATACGTTTGCCCTTTCAATTGAACGGATTATCCCTCGACATACAAGGACAGGGCTGCCTGGTTCACAAGAGGGCTCTTACGGTCAAAGGAGCCTACTGCATGCATACCTAGGGTGTGTGCTTTCCAGTGCTTCCACTCCAAAGCTGTGCAGAGGAGTGTCCATAGGAAACATGTTCTCCCAGAAGACCACTCTGATCCAAGCCCAGAAACAACACGGAGCCATTTAAAATGATTAACCATGGCTTGTTAAAAATGGAACGTTTATAGACACTTCACTGAACCACTACCTGGGCGAGAGGAGAGGTCAGGAGGCCATTTAATATATAATATGGCCAGATGTGCTACAGGTCTGCTCAGCTCCCAGCAGAGACTCAGCATGCAGCAATACAGCTTATTGCAAGTGGCCTGATCAAAACTGAAAAGGCCTATGATCAGAAGAGGTGCTGGACACCCAATATCCTCAGCGCAGACCCTGTAACACAAGACAGGTTGCCTTAGGGTTTGTCTATATGGAAAGTTTTACCAGTGACGCTAGTATAAATCCCCATCTGGACACACAAGCATGGCTTTTGTTTAGCTTAGATCCTGTCCCAAGCAACATAAATTAAACCAAGAAGGGGCCTCTCATACCAGAAAAAGATCATACACATGGTGCAATACTGGTATAACTTTACTGGTTTAAATTCACAACTTGTATTATACCAAAAAGATCTTCCCATATAAGTAAGGCCTGAGAAGCAGAATGCCTGAGAAAATACCCAGCGCAGCACTTCTTACTTTCAAAGCTCTTTATCAAATGACATTAACCCCACAACACCCGGTGAGGTAGGCAACAGTAAGCACCATTTTACAGGTGGAAAAACCAAGGCACAGAGAAATTAAGTGGCTTGCCCAAGGCCACTGGGGGAAAACAAAGGAGATGGTTATGATTATAATCCAGGCGTTTCCAGCTCCCTTACCATCCACAGAGCACCCCACACCCCCAAGACTTCCAAAGTCTGCTGTGTATGCTTCTGGTTACGAATGGAAGCAGTCTGGACACGTTTTCTTCTAATCCCTGCATCTGTAAATCACTTCGAGCGCCCAAGGAAATTGTGCTATGAACGCATGAAACGAGTCACCTCTCACTCCAGCTCTGTAGCAATAGCACTGGTCTTTCCCACTAGCAGGCAGACTTTCTAACCAGGAGTCTTTTCCCTTTTTGTAAGGAAGAGATGAACCATAGTGTTATGTGTTGCTGTTCCACTGAGGGCCATTTCCTAGACTCTTCACCCTCCTTCACCATAAGAGCTACAGCTCTCGAATTTCTTATTCACATTCTGTCTGTCAGAAGCAACATAGCTTAGGATACATGCATAAAAAATTGCCACATCAACCCCCATTAAACTATAGCTATGCAAGAGCTAGACATATTATCATAACAAACAAGAATAGGGCACAGGATGTATCTGCTGAGAGACCAACAAACAATACAACCCTGGGATTAATTGGATCAACCCACTCCATCTTGCAGAATGGGCTCTGTTAGGAAATAGTTCTCTCCACCACTGGGGTTGATTTCGCCATCACTTCCACTCCTCAGTCTCTGAGACAGCATGTGCTTGGCAGAAGACAGAGTTGGTTCTTTGACAAATGCTCATCACCAGCCCGCTGGAGCTCTAAGCCAGCAACCGAAAACAAGAAGTGTACATTCACTCAGAAAATCATTGCCAAGTATTGCTAGATGCTGCTCTCCCTCCAGCAGAGATCAACCCGTTCTGACTGGGTTTCTATCCAAAGCCAAGTTCTCTACTGTACAAAGCAGCAGACTGGCTGCTTAAATCAGTCTTGCCTTGTAGTTTTCCCTGGGCAGCCTGGAAAGACAGTCTAATCCAGGCATCGCCTTATTTTAATAACTGAACCTGAGCCTGGTGAAAGCTGTCACCTGCCTGCTGAGATTGCTTCTGAGTAACCGAGTACAGCTGTGAAGCAATCACAACGGGCAGCTAAGTCACCAGAAGCCATTTGAACACTTTGATGCCACCTAAATAACATCTCTGTGCCAGTTCCATTTTATAGTTGTCATAATCCCTCCATTACATGCAGCACTGAACAGCAGCCACCAGTCTCAGGTGAATAACCTCTCATTGCCACAACACGCCCAAGGTGGATATGCAGCACTGCACACCCTGCTGGACTTTACTGATTGTAACTAAAAGGCTCGTTGTGCCCTGGTTAATATCCTCCCCTCTGGCTCAGGAACACTGTGCTCCTGGCAGTTGGAGTTCTAGAACAAGGTCCAGATCAATTCAATCTGGACATTTCAAGGGAGTCCTGCAAAGAGCTTTTACATCAACACTTGCCATTTCACGCAGGGAACAAAAATATTTCCCAATGAAGAACAGGGCTCAGTGACCATGGGAAAATATGAGAGAGCCAAATTCACCCTGTTGTGCCCTAATGGAGTCAATGGAGTATCCCCATAGCTGTGTTTGGCTCTGCGTGTTTCACACCACTATCTGTTGTGAGGAACAGCACTCATCCAGAAGGCTATATTAGTATCCTTACAGGAGAGCAGGGATTGGAGTGGAAGGATATGCAGGAAGAATATCCAGTACCAATGAGGATATCATCCTGAGGAGTGATCTAGAACATCAAAACTGACCACTGCATCACAGGAGTCATCAAAACCTTGGTCCCCACTGGAAATGGGAATAGGAACCTATCAGCGAGAAGAAGAATTCACTATCCTGATGTCTGTGCAAAGTCATGGCAGAAATTCAGACTCCTTTTTGCAATGCCCCCATCTTTCTCCCTTGCTGCCACCAGCTTTCCTTACAATAGGGTGACAAGTGACTTTAAGTAGACAACAGATATGGAGGATGACAATTAGAAAATGCTTCGCTATTAGAGACTTGGCTACCACAGCGTCTGTTAGTCAATATCCAGCTGTCTACAGAGCTTTGTCACCCTGCCTGACAGCTTCTTTTAACACCAAGAGCCTTTCGTCTCAAGCAGACGGGTCTGGGCATGAGAAAATTTTAACAAGAACAGAACTTTTCATCCTACCAAGTCTTGTGAGCTTCTTAGCTGTACAACTTGCAGTTCTGGCCCCCAGCTACTTAAAGAGGGAGGAGTGGAAGTTCACTGTTTTTGGCTTAAAGCTCAGTGCAATGGACCAGCTGTGTTCCATTTCAGCACCTATATACCACAGCAATGGGTGCTTTAGAAATGCCTAGGTAGAGAGGAACTAGCAGTGGGAGCATCAGAAGCTGCTGTCTTCCATAAGTCAGCAGTTCTTAATGGACACCCCATGCCCCATTTCATATAGCCAGGATGTCTGGAAGTGGTGAAGATGAAGTTGAACATGAGAGGAGGGAAGTAGCAGCATCTGTTTTACTGTGCTGCTGACAAAAATAAAGCATTCAGTGGTAACTTGCACATGCTACAGCATAGGAGTGGAGCTGCTGAATCCCCTTCATGTTGCGTGGGGATGATTCACAGATCAGGGGAAGGGAGAGTTCAAATTTAAGGTTCAACCCTACTCCTATTGAAGTTAATAGCGAAAGTCCCTTTGAATTCAATGGCAGTAGCATCAAGTCCTTGAAATGTCTGTCTGCTCACATGATGAATTGCAATAAGCACCGAGAGAACACCAGAGCCACATGGTCAATTCAACCCTCTTCCCAGAGAAGAGCTTCCTAAGACACCATCGGAAGTCTCTAGTACAAGAGAAACCGCTTATCTCAACAAGACCAAAGCCCATAAAATTCACATGGGGTCACTGGCTCGAGTCTGCCTTCTTGCTTTGGCCACCATCCATAACAAACCTCCCACTTGCACCCTGAGCTCAGGCACTAACACTCAAGTCATGGGGCTACAGCAGCTCTCGCCATTACAGTTTGGGCAGCGTGCCTGCTGGTGCCAGTATAATACCAAAAACGTAGAAGAGCCCCAGCAGGAGGTTGAGCTTGGCTGTCCGCTGGGGAATTTTGCTGAAGCTCTGGCTCCGGAACTGCCTCTCCAGCGAAAAGGCCATAGGAATGGTGAGTAGTGGCAGCGCCATGCTGATGGTGTAACGTGTGGCCAAGACGCAGAAGATCAGGTAGGGCAGGAAGAGCAGTGTGTTGTAGAGCATGTAGGAAAACGTGGGGCCGATGAGGATAGCCAGGGTGACAATGCCTGCCTGCCGGTCAGACTCCATGTCCCGGGTGTTGTTGCTGTGCAGGATGGCCTCAGTGCTGAGGGCTAGTGGGACAGCATAGAGCAGGGGTGAGACAGACAGATAGCCAACCTGCACTGCATGGGCAAACATGACAGCCAGGGGCCCAAACGTGATGAGGATCACCAAGTCGCCAAGTGCAACATATTTAAATCCAATTCCTGTGGCAAGAAACAAGAGGAAAACAAGTGTTACCAAGTGAAATTCACTTTATGGAGGACAATAGATGTTACTCAAACAGATCAGCAGCACCTAAAAAATGCTGTAAAACAGCCAACACAAACACAGCTAGGGCAGGGCTACACACATGCTCTTTTATTGCCCCAGAACTGATTATTATTCTCCCTTTCCAAAGATAATAAAGCAAACATGTCTGCAATTCTCCAGTCTCAACCAGTGAGCAAAGATTAAGGGGCAGATTCATTACCCATCTGGAATACCTTATTCCACAAGCAGTCACACTGAAGTCCATGGGATTACACATGCAGTAAAGTGCTACCCAATGGCAAAAAACAGTGAGGTGGCAAAATTTGCAGATGATACAAAATTACTAAAGATAGTTAAGACCCAGGCAGACTGTGAAGAGCTACAAAAGGATCTCTCAAAACTGGGTGATTGGGCAACAAAATGGCAGATTTCAGAGTAGCAGCCGTGTTAGTCTGTATCCGCAAAAAGAAAAGGTGTACTTGTGGCACCTTAGAGACTAACAAATTTGAAATTTAATGTTGATAAATACAAAGTAATGCACACTGGAAAGCATAATCCCAACTATACATATAAAATGATGGGGTCTAAATTAGCTGTTACCACTCAAGAGAGAGATCTTGGAATCATTGGATAGTTGTCTGAAAACATCCACTCAATATGCAGCGGCAGTCAAAAAAGTGAACAGAATGCTGGGAATAATTAAGAAACGGACAGATAATAGGAAGAAAATATCATGTTGTCTCTATATAAATCCATGGTATGCTCACATCTTGAATACTGCATGCAGATGTTGTTGCCCCATCTCAAAAAAAGATATATTGGAATTAGAAAAGGTTCAGAAAAGGGCAACAAAAATGATTAGGGGTATGGAATGGCTTCCGTCTGAGGACAGATTAATAAAACTGGGACTTTTCAGCTTGGAAAAGAGACAGCTAAAGGGAGATATGATTGAGGTCTATAAAAATCATGACTGGTGTGGAGAAAGTAGGTATGAGAAGTAGTAAACAACACTTCCTTAACACAAAAAGTAGGGTTCACCAAATGAAATTAATAGGCAGCAGGTTTAAAACAAATAAAAGGAAGTATTTCTTCACACAATGCACAGTCAACCTGTGGAACTCCTTGCCAGAGGATGTTGTGAAGGCCAAGACCCCATAACAGGGTTCAAAAAAGAACTAGATGAATTCATGGAGGATAGGCCCATCAATGGCTATTAACCAGGATGGGCAGGAATGGTGTCCCTAGCCTCTGTTTGCCAAGAAGCTGGGAATGAGCGACAGGGGATGGATCACTTGATGATTACCTGTTCTGTTCATTCCCTCTGGGACACCCGGCATTGGCCACTGTCGGAAGACAGGATACTGGGCTAGATGGACCTTTGGTCTGACCCAGTAGGCCCATTCTTATGTTCCTATGAGTACAGATGTTAGAATCTGGCCCTGAACAGATGCAACCATCAGGTTAAACTATCAGCTGCTACATCTTTCAAATGATATCCTCCAAGCCCTATAAATTGCTTAATCTTATCTATAGCAACACACTGGGTGTTTCTTGAACCACCCAGCAGCAGAACTGAAGAAGCAAAACACATTTTATCTTCATAAGTCCCATAAAAAAATTTCACGTTCCTACTCTACATCAGTGTTACTCATTAATTTTGGGTGCATTTCTTAAAACACCTCTTTAGTTTACTTTTCAGTTTAAACTAGATCTGGCTAATAACAAATGAGGAACTGTTCAGATAATACAAACTCAGCTCCATCCATGGAGAAGAGAACACAGATAATGAACCAAAGCAGCTGACATACACCAGATGTACATTTCACACACAATTCCTGCCTCAGAGTATGAAGTACAGTCCTTACCTCCAGTATAAAGGAAGGAGCTGGAAAGTCCCCCAAAGTAGATCAGGGCCAGGTGCTCCAGCTTGAGAGTGGAGAGACAGTAGAGGCAGGCAGCACAGATACAGCCCAGGGTATAGAGGAAGACCCCAAACCGGACCACATCCTGAGGCTCCAAGATCTGGTCCACCAATGTCCGGTCATCACTCTTCTTGTGGTCAATGCCCTTGGAGAAGTCATAGTAGGTATTAACCAAGTTACCTGCTCCATGCACAGCCAGCACAGCCACTGCACTGCCCACTAGCAGCCCTGGGTCTAGGGATCCATGGGACCGATAGGCTAGGGCACTGCCCAGGGCTACTGGGGTCAGAGAGGCGCTGAAGCTCCAGGGCCGCAGGGCCAGAACGTAGGCGGCACATTTCTGCCTCCAGGTGCCTGGGCGGCTCTTGGCAGAGCTGGGCAGCCCGATGCCCAGCTCCCCCACGTCACCGCCTCTGGGGCTCTCAGCGCTGATGCTGATCTTCTCACTCCGAGCCTCAGACTCCATGCTCCTCACGCGGCTGACTCAGGAGAAGGCGCCGGTGGCAGACCTGGGAAAGGAGGGGGAGTTTGCATCAGGAAAGGGAAAGCCCCAAGGGCCTCGCCAGGGACACACCCAGCCCCGGGGAGAGCCGCCGGCGACACCCGCGACGCGAACCGCGGCAGCGGCGACCACCCAGCGACGGGGCCCCACGGCGCGGAGAGCGAGGGGCGGGTCCCTTCCCATGCCGGGCACCGGCGGAGAAGCGGGGCCCTTCCCCGGCTTCCTCCTCCCCGTGCGGCGCCTCAGCCCCCGCGACCTCCGCATCCCCTGCGGGAGGGAAAGGCCCCCGGGTAGGGGGAGCACCCCGGGCGGGGGGCGGCGGCGGCGGCTCCCAGCGCCGGGCGGGGCGGACTCTGCTCTCCCGTCGCATGGGCCGGCTCTGGGGCCCCCTCACCTGCTGCGGAGCCGGGTCCCGGGGAGGCCTCTCCGGCTCCGCTCACGAGCGAGCCGGCTCTCGCGGCACCCCGGCCGCCAGCCCGCGTGGGCCCCAGCCGCCGCCGCGTGGGCCCCAGCCAGGGCCGGCCCCTCCGGAAACAAGGGCGCTGCTCGCCAAGGTTCCGCTTGCTGAGGGGAGCCCTGGGCCGGGGCGGGGGAGCAGCCGGGTGGGGCCCAGGGGGAAGGATAGGGAAGAGCCCCAGAATACGAGTAATACCGGGGGGGGGGGGGCCTTCCCGTAGGGTCACTCAGCCAGTCCGTGGCAGAGCTGTGGATTGAACCCAGGAGTCCTGAGCCCCATCCCCCTTCTTTAACCCCAGAGAATAGACTCCCCTATCCCCAGCCCTGCGACCCTGGCGTTCGGGGTGCTGCATGCACACGCCGCCCCATAGACTCCTGCAAACGGACGAGCCTATCCCTGCCACGGCTTGCAAGGTCAGAGCCTGACCCGCTCTGAGCCTCCGTTTCCCCCATCTGCAAAATGGGGATAACAATCCACAGGGATTAATATGTGGGGGCGACTCAAATCATCTGGTAAGAAGTGCCACAGGGAAAGCCTGGAAAGTTAATCTGAGCCACTGTTATTAAATTATCAATTAATATTTAACTATTAGTGAATATTAACATCTAATCATTAGTATCAATAACAAGTCTGCTTATATGAACGCTTAACCATTCATATTACCGGTAAATCATAGACGTTGAATGTTTTGTGTCGATTATCATCGCTAATAGCTATTTTCCACTGTTAGGCAAAGTAGGGGTCACAGAAGGGGCTAGCTTCTATACGTACCATTACGGTAACAGAGCCTTTCTTCTGCCCTTGGTGCTCTTCAGGACAGGCTGCACCCAGAGCAGTCGAGAAGCTGGAGGGGATAGAAGGACCAAGCGTTCACGCGGTGAAAAATTCCTACCGTCTCAATGGTTTTTTTTTTTTTTTTTTTAAAAAAATCAATTTCCGCATGCGCACAATGCCGTGCAGCTTCAGAGAGGGCGGAAGCAATGTGGCTTTCCAAAGGCGGGGCAAGCTCTGAATTCTAAGCAATCGTGCAGCGCCCAACTTCTCATTGGCGCAGCTATGTGTCAGTAAATCACCATATGTCCTTTGATTGGTCAATACCGACCGCCCCCGCCCCCGGCAGTTATTTGGGGGTGGGGACACGCTCCTCTAGGAACCCCTCCTCACTCCTAAAGCTATTGGCTGCCCCACCCGTTGGTCACATTCCCCTCAGCGCCGATTGGTTAGCGCGTCTTCGCCGGCCCGGCGACAGCAGTGGGGGGGGGGAAACGCGGGGCCCAAGCTGGGGAGCCGGTCGTAAGGGGGCCGGCGCGGCTGGGCCGGCCGGAGGCGGTGAGTGCTGGGGCCCCGATCCGGCGCCGGGAAGGGATCCCCCCTCCCCCTCAGTAGGGACACCCCGGCCTGGCTCCCCAGTGCGGGGCCTATGGAGGCTGCGTCCCCTTCCCCGCGCCTTCGCCGGCCGGGCTGGCCCAGGCCCCCCGGCAGCGGGGATGGGGGCTGCCCTGGGGGCTTGCCCGGTGAGCCGAGCCGCGCTGGCAGGGGGCCTCCCGCGGGTCCCTCCCCCGGCCACCTCCCCCCCCCCCCGGCCGCAGCACGGGAGGTGCCCGACTCCCCTCGGGCTAGCGCCCGCCGCTGCCCCCTCCCTTCCCGTGCCCCAGGCGGAGCGGTGCCCGGAGCTGTCAGCCAGGCCGGCGGCCGCCGCTCCACCCCCGGGGCCTCCCCGCCCTGGGCCGGGCAGTGGGTGGCGGGGACCCTGGCCTTGGGTCTGCCCCGGCTTTCCCAGCGCGGCTCGTTGAATCTCTGCCCCCCACTGATGCAGGCAAGGCCTCTGCCCTGGGCGGTGCGCGCAGGCCCTGCTTGCCCTGGATAGACAGGCTGCGATCACCCCTTTGCCCCGCTCCTTGCGAACGCCTTTCCCTCACCAGGGCAGAAGAGGCCTGTTTAGGCTACTCTTCCAGCCTGGGGAGCTGATCATGGCTTCTCGGGAGATGCTGGTAGCAGGAAAGATCCCACACTATCTCCTGATTCCTCAGGGGCATCCGCTGTACCCCGGGATTTTAATGAGGCGGAGTAGTGGCAAGTGAGGAATAGGAACCCAGGACTCCTAGGGTTCTAGGCCTAGTTCCGCCCCTCACCTGCTGTTTGCCTTGCAGCAAGGTACTTGAAGACCCCTGCGTCGGTTTCCTCCTTTCTAAAATGGTTATTTTTAAACTGAAAAAAGAAAAAGTGCACCCATCAAGATGGTTTCTACACATGTACAACATTAAATATCCTATTACAATGGCTGTTGCTGGCACAAATCCGCATTGGAGGTTATAGCGCTTATCAGCCCCTAGGAGCGTTGAGGCTTGTAAAGAACTTTGAGGTTCTTGGATGAAAGGGGTTGTAGAGGAGCAAACTGAAGTAACGACATCGACATGCACACCAAGCGGTCCTTACCCTCCTTGTAACTTTGCTTGACTGGGAACGCCTCTGAAGCACAAGCCCGTCTTGGTATTTGGGCATGGATTTGATTTGGGCATGTCACATGTGCCCATGAACACTTTGTGCTGAGAGTGCAGGAGTCAGGAGGCTGAGCTGGGGCTGGTTTGTTTAGGGTGCGCTGAAGGACCGTGCGAGCCAGAACTCTTGAAAGCTGCCTAGGTCTGTGGAATCCAAGGAGCCTGTACCCCTGTCATATATCTGATGGGGTTCTGTAGCTATTATGCCATCTGAAAGCCCTCTGTTTCTCATGAGATGTATATTTGGGAGCAGTAAATTGGAGCCATGTGGTGGATGGAGCTGTGATTGGCTTCTGTACTAGCTAAAAGCAATAAACAGGTTTTCTGTCTAAAGGATCCACTGGACTTGATGCCCCAAGTCCTGACTCGCCGCCATCATGTCCAGCACTGTGTCCATCCTTCAGCAATTTGCCAGCGGGCTGAAGAGCCGCAATGAAGAAATCAGGGCAAAAGCCGCCAAGGACTTGCAGCATTATGTCACCATGGAGCTCCGTGAGGTGAGTGCTGCAGATATGGGAGCAGCAGCTTTCAGCTGGGGAGACACGTTTGTGCCATTTGGCTGGGGAGTGAGGTGTGTCGCTAGGATGCTTGGGGCGGTAGAGATTTGGGATGCTGAGGTAGGCACTAGAGTGGGATGGGCACAAGCAAGCACCAGAACAGGGGCTGGGTTAACCGGGCAGGGGCACAGGCAGCAGATGTAATTGCTTCCTCTGGGTTTGGATCCCACGGTTAATTTACTGCCTTTGAGTTTGGGAGCCCTGAAAAGTGTTGTTGCCCTTCTTTATCTGGGGCATATGTAGTGGAGGAGAGGTGGTAAATTGATCTGCATTTGTTACCTGTGCAGATGAGCCAGGAGGAATCTACCCGCTTCTACGATCAGCTGAATCACCACATATTTGAACTGGTCTCTAGCTCTGATGCAAATGAGAGGAAAGGAGGCATTCTGGCTATAGGTGAGTGAAGGACTTCAGCGCCTCTGGTGAACTTCCCCTTCACATTGCTGTTCTATCGGGACAGATTGTCAAGAGAACTCTGTGCTCACAAGAGATGCGCGGTATATTTAAGAGAGTTCAGTGCACTGAGTGTGTATGGAATATAGAGCTCTTTTGAAATTCTGACCGTAGGTGTCATAATGGGAGCTGCTGGATGCTGAGCACTTCTGAAAATCTGGCCCTTTTGGTGCCTCCTTGGAAACTGAGCACTTGAAAATCTGACCCCAATGTGTGTGCTGAGCACTTGAAAATCTGGCCCTGAGCTCTTCTGAAAATACTTCTCATCGTGTCCAGTTTTACTGGTGGTCACAAGAGGCAAAGCCTCTGGACTCCCTGTTGCCTGAGAACATTCATTCTTTTTTGTTTAAAGTCACCTGGCTCAAGGGCAGCAGCCCCCATCCCTGTGGAGGGATCTAAATGGCTTTTGCCTTCATTTTGTTTAGCGTCTCCCTCATTTGCCCTGTTGTGCTTTCATTCTTACATGGCAAAGCTTCCTAAATGCTGTGACGCACAAGGATGCAGGTAACTTGTATAAAAACACACCCTTCCAACAAAATACCCCGTATCCTTAGCATTTGCCTTTTGTTAACGACGTAGAAACTGCTTGTGGGTTGATTTCACCAGCCATAACCAAACCAACCCCAAGGTGTCTGGAGGTGGTGGAAGTAACTTAGGAAAAGAAATCTTTGTTGACCGCATCTGATTTCGAAGCTGACAGTATCACTTTAAAATTGTTTCTGTGAATTTAGTGCTGTTGAAAGGTGCCGGATTGACAACCCTGGACACTGATGGCCTCTTTATCTACAGAGCAGGTACAACCCAGGCACCAGCAGTGCAAACTTCAGCCACACTGCCCTCTGTCAGTGTGCCTCAACTTTGACCTGGAGGGACAATCTCTAGGGGTGAAGGAGCATTCAGTCTCTTTAGTCCGTTCAGTCCTTGGCGCCTCTACTGAGACTGTCAAGAAGGGGGCCAGTTGTAGTGGTTGCATGTGGATGCCTGTCAATTGGGAATGGGCCCACGATCCCAGGGTGGAAAAGCTGTGACCCGTGGAAAGGACTTGATAAACTTCCCTGTTTAGTAAACAAATTCTGACTTTAAAAGGCTGGTGACCCTTTCCTACTGCTTGATTTCTCTGGTGGATTTTTGGTTTAGGAAGAGAGAATGGGAGTCTCTAAAGAATGGATAGGGAATACTAACTCTTCTCCAGGGACTACCCTACTGTCGGGCAAGCTGACTCAGTGGCAGAGCTTTCACTCCTGTTCTCCCTCTCCCCAGCGAGCCTTATCGGCGTTGAGGGAGGCAATGCCACCCGCATCGGCAGGTTTGCCAATTACCTTCGGAACCTCCTCCCCTCCAATGACCCTGTTGTCATGGAGATGGCGTCCAAGGCCATCGGGCGCCTTGCTCTGGCAGGTGATACCTTCACGGCGGAATATGTGGAGTTCGAGGTGAAACGGGCTCTGGAGTGGCTGGGAGCTGATAGGAATGAAGGTCGAAGACACGCGGCTGTACGTACTCCTCTTCAGCCTTCCTGGGAAAGGGCTGGCTGCTCATGAGTAGTGGTGATGGGAGCGATGT